TACAATAATAAGTGCCCTGGTTTTCAATGTATTAGAGTTAAGGAAGAAAGTGTCCCTGCCCTGGGCATCTTAGGAGAATCCTGGGGAGTTTAGTGGAAGCTAAACTGGACATTCATTATAAAATCTGTACCGTGAGTCTAACTCTACTAATCTACCTTTAAAAGAAAATCTACCACTTCCCTTACTTTGGCAGTTAACAGAGCAACAACTGCTAAAAGACGTATTAAAAACGCACAAAATGAATTCTCATTTTTAAGAACAATAAAGCAGAGCCATTTGGGAGAGGAATTGAAAACCTTTTTAGAAGTTGCTCCCTTCCATCCAGCACCCTATATCTCCTCCTCTGTTTTAGGAACGTAGGTGCTAATTCAATGATTTAGAAAGCATACCTGGGGTTTCTAGAATACATTCTTAATTTAAAAAAATATTATTCTTATTTTATATGTATGAGTGTATTTGCCTGCATGTATGTAAGTGCACCTGTATCATGCAATGCCTATAGAGGTCAGAAGAGGGCATTGGATCCCCTGGAACTGGAGTTTACCAACCATTGTTAAATGCCTTGTGGGTGCTGGGAATGGAATCTGGGTCCTCTGCAAGAGCAGCCAGTGCTTTTAACCACTGAGTCATCTCTCCAGTCCCTAGAATATATTCTTGCACTAATTTTGTTTGAGAGACTTTCACTTGCTTGTCACCCAGGTACAGTGGAAAGATGCGTAAGATAATATCCCATTCTGTGGATGCATGCATTGGGATATAGAATAAGGCTCTCACAGTCCTGGGGTGAATGAACCAGGCAGAACCAGTTTGTGGGAGGGTCATCTGCAGAGCTCTGCTGGAAATGCTGGTCACACTGGTCTCCCAGAATCTAGACAACCAGGGTTATAACCCACTGCAATCATGCTCTGGCCCATTTTGCTGATATCATGGAAGTCTGACTCAAAGATATTTCCAAAGGAGTTACTGTGTCCCAATCAATCCATCTGAATTTGCAAGCATCTCTATAACTTCATATTTTGGACTATATTTTCTTTTTTGAACCCTTGTACAAAAGCACTGAAATCGGACAAAGTAACATATGAATGAGTTTAACATCTTAATGGGCCATACCTACAAAGCTGAGCACAAATATGGTAAGATTTAGGACCTTTCAGTAAATAAAATGAACTAGAGACAAAAAAATGTAAGAGATGCTTTCTTGGATAGTTTCATTAGGAAATCTAAATTCATGAAGGGAAATTGAAACTTGGCTTTCTTGTCTCTGGGTTAGAGTTAAACTCTTGTGGTAGATTCTGTGGTTTGTAAATTTTCAAAGATAGATCTCATAAGTTCCAATTCTACATAATTTTCCAGTTAAGTTTTTCCAGACATTTTGTATAGAATGTGGCACAGAGTAGTCAAGATAAAAACTAGCCTGCAAGAAAAACTGGGCATTTTCCTTCCTTAGTCCATGGAGAGTATATATAAAAAAGCAAGAAAACACAAAGTTTGTGTAAACTCTTATTTGAAGATTTTCACTAAAAAAGAGATGCTTGGAAAATGCTTACATTGCATTCAGAGCTAACTTATCAGCAAATCTTTGGTTGCCCATCAAGACCTCTGAAAATCTTCATCAATAGAAGAGGCTTTAGAGCAAGAGGGTTTTGTCTCGAACCCAACTTCACTTTCCAGAACCAGCTCCACCGCTCTGTTCCAAGCAGGAACCTCTCTGAGTTTCAGTTTGCTCCTCTGTGCTGTGCTTCTGTGGACCACTGTTCATCTGAAGGGTTGTCGCCATGTCTAGCAGTTTCTGTGCTGTGCCGGGCACACAGACACCTTTGAGCCAATGACAACTGTTTTCATATTTCCATGATGTTTGGGGCAGTGGGTCTCATACTTCTCTTCTGGCCCACCTAATCTGTCCTCTTTACTCTGCACAAGTTGACCAGATAGAATTGAAAGAATTAAGACATTTAATTATTTTTTATATATCTGACTCTATCATCTATCTATCTATCTATCTATCTATCTATCTATCTATCTATCTATCTATCATCTATCTATTTATCTATAAATTTATTTTATTTTTTTTTTAGAATTCTTTGAGACAGGGTCTCACTATGGAGCCCTGTCTAGCATAGAATTCACTATACATACTAGGCTGCCTGTGATCTCACAGAGATCTACCTGCCTCTGCCTCCCCAGTGCTGGGATAAAGGCGTCTGCCACAATGCATGGCTTAAAATTAATTTTTAAGTGAGCAAACAGAGTAATGGATTTCATTATAGTATTTTCTTTCTTCTTTTAAAATATTTATTAATTTTATTTTATGTGTATGAGTGTATTGCCTGCATGTGTATCTAAGTGCACTGGTGTCATACAAAAGAGGGTGTTGGATACCCTGGAACTGGAGTTACAGATGGTTGTTAGCTACCATGTGGATGGTGGGACTTGAACTCCTGTCCTCTGCAAGGGCAGCCAGTGTTCCTAACCTCTGAGCCATCTCTCTCCATCCCATCCCGATGGCATTTTCATACATATATGTAATTATGCTTTATTCTCACTCATCACCTTCCTTTACTGCCCTACTCCATCCTTCCTGCCTGCCTTTTTGTTTCTTTTAAATGACACTGGTCTTTATGTAGTTATGGTCACTCCCCAGGCTCATACTTAATGGTAACTATTCTCCACAAACTTCTCTCTTTGACTAATGAGCCAGAAAACTTCTCTTGGGGTTCACAGATGATCCCCCCCCCCACTCCGGCCCAATTTCTTAGACTCAAATCAATTTCAAAAGTTCAGGAAACACAGAAAAACTAATGAGTGGCTGTTAGGTTTCCTGGTCATCAGGTCCTTAGCTTCCCTGGACCACCTTCTACTCACACATTTTTGTAATTGTTATTTATGTGTGGGGATTTTATAAAACTAAGAGAGAGGTAAATCAAAAAAGAAGGAGATTCTAAGCTGTGCTCCCTAGAGCCCAGGCTTCCTCATGGTTAATGTAGTCTTGTTTCAGAGCATAAATGTATAACCAAGTCTAACAGAGGTGGATATATTACATTAACACACAAGAAAGAAAAACTGTTCTGCATTGTATGTGTAGGTGGGAGAGTTGCAGTTGGCTGACGTCTGAGCAGTTTCATTTTTAACTAAGAGTGTCTTTTTTCCATGACAATTGTTTTCTGCCCTGACTACTACAAGCCTATGCATCCTAACCAACATCCCATTCAACATCAGGATGCCTTGAAATCAGACAATTATTCTGCTGACTGCAGGGAGTTTTACAAGGTACCTGACCTATGTTTTAAAGGGGTTAACAGTCCTGTGCCAGGTGCTTTACATAAGCTCTCTTCCATCCTCACAGTAGCCTAACCAGAATGATGTATTACTTCTTTTCAGAGATAAGAAAACTGAGGTTCAGAGATGCAGAAAGTGAAGTTCAAGTCTTGCTCTGTCAGGATCTAACTACCACGTCCTACCCATTATAACATGTTAGCTTCCTGCTTTCAGGGCTCTGTATTTTGCTTCTAGCAATCATGTGAAGATTTAATAGAATTTTTGGCACCTTATTAGTTGTGTTTCATAAATAAAAATTTGCACCATTGCAAACTGGTTCAGACGTAAAGAAGTAAGATCAGCTGAAGGATGAAACTCTTTTGTTCTCTTGAGCTCACTGGGGAAGCAAAAGTCTGCCTTCATCTCCATTCTAATTATCCAAAACCTCTTATCTGCAGTGTCACAATTCATAATAATTAATTGTCATGCCAGAGGCACTGTGACGTGCTTGATGGAGTCATGGTGCACTATGTACACAGAGTAATTAGCAATCATTAGTGATGGGGACAGGAAGTTCCTGGTGGTTTCATTTGAGTTTTCATTTGGTTAAGTTTATCTCTGTGTTCTTTGTGCATAAATACAGTTTAGAAAATCAGATTTTTAGCTGGATTGTTATATGAAGGATTGGGGTAGAGCTGTCCTTTTCTTTTTATCTGTGCTGTGAGCTTCTCTTTTAACAGTTTGTATATATAGTTGCCCACCAGTAGTGTGTACCAACACCTAATGTTACTATATTGCTAAATTCAATAACAAGTGTAAAATGTCAGTAGACTGACAAAGGAGACTGGAGCTTGGTATTGAAAACTGGAAACCCAGAACCAATAGGAAAACCCCTGACTCTACTGTGCTGCCCTCCAGAACACACTGGATCTGTGTCAGACTTTCACCCTTGGCAAACGCTGTACCTGTCATCACTTCCTGCAGCCAAGAGAACGGAATGAACTCATACTTGGAGGAAACAAAAATTATATCAATAACCGAATTTTGTAAATGGAGAAAGGCAGGCATGAAGCAGCCAAGCTTTTGAGATCTTTCTTCAAGACTGCAGTTGAAAGAATGTAAAACTGACCCAAAACAGGCCTGTTCAGTCTAGCCAATCTTTATAAACACATGGTTAAGTACCGGAGAACTTGTTTCTACATTCCAGAGAGTTCACTTGAATATCGAGTTTAAAAATAAAAGACACAGTAGATGACAGCACCTCTGCAGTCACTGGATGCTTCTTAAAAAGCATTTCTCGGCTTAGTTGATAGGCTGGTAACATTGCCCAAGTAACTCCAAAGACCCAGGAGGGAAGGGTGGGATTATGTCTTCTGTGTGGAAGTCAGCATGAAATCCGATGAACTGCAGGCATCTTGGGGAGACTGAATATGAGAGCAGGGACCTGGGGTGGGCTTCCTCATAGTGGCAACTCATCCAGGTGTGGATGTGTCACACAGCTAGAACCGGAAGGGACAACCTCCTTACCATCCTGATGAATCCCTTACACTCCCATGATGTCCTATATTTTGATGCTATAGCTGCCCGATGAAGAAAAGCTAAGGAGGATCAAAGAATGAGGAGGAGGTCAGGCTGAAGGAAGTTAAAGCAACAGTGGTGGGCTGAGAACCTTGACTTTGTTGGGCTGCTCCTGTGAGCAGGTAGCAGCTGCCCCGCTGCAGAGGTGAGGTGAGGTGGGAACCTACCTGCCGGAGGATGCCCACTTTTCAGCGGGGACAGCAGGACCTGCTCTTCATTTGCCATAGTGCCTTCAAGCCAATGTCTTGCTGCTGCTCTGGAGGCTGAGTGCCAGCTTTGGCTGCCCCACCTCACTCTGGTTTTATACCGACAGAGGGCGGGGCCCCTTGAGGGCAGTGCTGAGCAGCAACCTGGCTTACCATTCAGCTCCCCTGGAACCAGGCATCTCCTTGGCAAGCTTGCTTTCTTTCATCAGGGAAGGCAAAGTAGATGTCTGCAGGATGAAGAAAGTTCTAAGGAGGAAGTGGAGAAGATGCAGGTGGTGGATTCTTTTTAACACCAAGTATTCTCTTCATTAAGTGTAGCGCACTTAGTGAAGCAGGCTCTTTGTCACATGCTGGCATGACAAGGTAGACAAGACAAGATTTTTGCTTCAACACATCTGCGGTCTTTCCAAGAGACCATTACAAGTAAGCACCATGCCTTTTTTAAAAAATGTGTATGAGTGTATTGCCTGTATGCCTGTAAGTGTACCCTTGTTGTGACGTGCCAGTGGAGGTCAGAAGAGGGCGTCAGATCCCTTGGACCTGGAGTTATTGATTGTTGTTAGCCACCATGTGCTAGGAACTGAACCTGGGTCCTCTGCAAAAGCAGCCAGTGCTCTTAACCACCGAGCCATCTCTCTAGCCCTGCATCATGCCTTTTTGAGGACCTCACAATCATAAGCATTTATGCTAAGACAGTAATGGCAGATATAGGCAGAGTTCTGTGCAAGGATATTAATCATATATTTCTTTCCTTTCTTTTTTTTTAAGTTTTGATGGAAATAAACATAAATACCCCCAAATACAAAAGCATAAATTAAGATATAGCCAAGAGAGTGCTATGTTGTGCATATTTCAAGTCATGTTTTCAAATGATATTTAATTGTGTGAAAATATTAGTAATAATATAGTGAAGAGATGGTATAGAAACCACTAGATGCAAATTTTGCTTAAAAATATGCATTAAAGTTTAAACATTGTTGTATCTCCAGGGCCAAAGTTTGGCATATGACTTAGACAAACTGTTCTTCAATTAAAAACTGCTTTTCAAAAATCACTTGGAAGAAAATGAAGAAAAACCACGAAGTGGGAGAAAATATCTGCAGAATGCAGTTCTGATGAAGTACCGGCATCTAAATTACATAAAGAATTACAGCAAAATTCATACTGTATGTGCAGACAACAAACACCCAAATAGGTGGGCCACAAACATTAATTATTAGGGAAATACAAGTTAAAGCTCTGATGAAATATCACTACCTGTGTATTAGAATGCCTCAGCTGGAAAAAAAATGCAAAATGAAGATCTTGGGGCAACTGGAATCTCATACATTGTTGTGAGACTATTAAAAAAGTTAAATCACTTTAGAAGTTGTTTTCTAATAAAATTCAACATACACTTAGTATATACAGTATGATGGATAATTCAGTTGCTAGGAATTTTCCTAAGAGAAATAAAACCCTTTTCACACATAGAAACCTGTGTACGAATGTTTATAACAGCTCTATTCATAACTGACAAGTTAAAAACAGCCCCAAGGCCCATTACGTATAGGATGCATAAACAGCTTGTGGTGTGTGCTCATAGAAGAATACAACTCAGCAAAAGAAAAAAATGCATAGAAAGATACATAGAAATTAAATACACTAGGTTAAAAAGTCAAAACAGAATAAGCTGCTTGCTGTGTAATCCCATACAAGCTAGACAGAATGGCACATACCTGTAATCCCAGCACTGAGGAGGCTGAGGCAAAAGAACTTTATTTGGGGATGGCCTGAGCAATTTAATAGGACTCTGTCTCCAAATAAAAATAAAAGGGGCTGGTGAGATGGCTCAGCAGCTAAGAGTGCTTACTAATGTTGCAGAGGATGGAGTTCGGTTCCTAGCACCCATGTTGGATGGCTCACAACCTCCTGACACCTCTGGCCACTGAAGGCACCTGCACTCATACCCATACAGAAACACACACACACACACACACACACACACACACACACACACACACACACAAATGTAAATAAAATAAAGGGGCTGAAGAGATTGTTCAGCAGTTAAGAGCAGTTAAGATCTCACCAACTGCTCTTGCAAAGGACTCAGGTTCAGTTCCCAGCACCTACACAGTGGCTTAAAACCATCTGTAGCTCCAGTTCCAGGGGTTCTGATGCCCTCTTCTGACTGCTTTGGGCATTGTACAACATGGGTGCAATTACATACATGAAGGCAATACCCTCATACACATAAAATACGAATAACAATAAAATAAAATAAATCTTAAAAAATACATTTACTATTACTATTGAGCATCATAGTTTACTGAGCTTAACTTAAAGGTACACAGGCCTACAGTTGGGCAAAATCATCTGACACATATATAACAAAGTGTGGTATGTCTCTTGTAATTCATTGAATACTGTACTGAAATTGAAAAAACAGTGAGTGCATGGGAAGTAGAAAAATAGTAAGTTGACCCATTTATTGTAAGTTGACTGTGGTTTTGGTTAAATTAAAGATAAATATAAATAACTATATTTGAGTTGTGGCTACCATGCTGGATGGGACAGGCCAGTAGCATAAAACCTAGATGTGTGATAACAATCCAGATCTCAGGGATGCTTTTTATCTGCAAGACGCAGAAGGGAAGGGGAAAATCAAGGAATAGCCACCCTAGCAGAGTCTGCATCCTGAGTTGTGCCTAGGCAAAGGGGGCTTCTCTGGAGGAAATGCTCGTAGACTTGACCATGAAGTCATATTAAGCAGGCTTCTTTTTATGTTTGCATTCACAGCCTTCAACACACGTTTGCAAGTTTTGAGACTCCACAGTGGAATTTGCCTGATGACATTTCTAGAGCTTTTTTTTGAGGTGGGAACTTTTGTTCTCATATCCCTCAACAACAGCTTCTAGAATTTGGGCTCTTGAAATACAAATTAGAAAACTTATCTGGGATTAAAGAGATGATCATATCTAGGAGTTGATGGCAAAGGAGAAGTTACCAAGGCAATGTGAAGGGTAATAGAATCCACAGGACATTTGACCCTCCCAACTGTGAACAATTTACCTACTGTGGCCATTGTGGGCTGTAGATTGAGCATCCCTAATCTGAAAATCTGAAATCTAAAATGCTTCTTAAGGCCCACGAAACTCAAGTGGAAAATTCCACATCCTGACCTCTGGTGCTTGATGTACTCAGACTCTGTTTCATGTACAAAATTGTTGAAGCATTGTATGAAGTTAACTTGACAAGGTATATGTGATATACAGTGAATGCCATGTTGACTCAGGTCCCATCCCAAAGAGCTCTCATTATGTACATGTAAATATTCTGTGAAAAACCATGATGTGAACACTTTGGTTCTAAGCATTTCAGATAAGGGCTACTCAGTCTATAATAGATAATATGATCATTTGTTTTTTCTTTACCCCCAAATGGAAAATATCTAAAAGTTTATATTAGGGACTATAAAAGTGATCTATAAAAGAGTATCATTGCTTACAAAGAGACAAGCCATCTGTTTAACTATAAGAATATGAGTAAAGGGGGCAAACGTGTAAGGAAGGCCGATGTGTTTTGCTTTCTAGGTGATCTCTTCCCATGTCCTTCCCGCTCTGCCACCGTCTGTTTCTGTTGCAGCAGGAGGTCAAGTGCCCCAATGCAGATTGCCTTGGTGCATATTTTGCACCTTGGGGTGGTGGTCTGTCAATGCCTGGACTCTATTTTCATCATCAAAAGCCCAGGCCTGTTTTGTAGTCTGTGAGTTAAGTGGAGCTGGCATTGTTCGCTTTGGGAACTTACTAGAGAGAATTTTTACCAGGATGAAAGTCTCTCCAAAGAAAAGCAACATGTTATTACCCTTCGAATGAGCTTGTAAACCTCCCTTAAAAGAGGCTCTGGTGTGGTTGACTCTAGTCGGCAGCTTTGCTGGGACAGAAGCATTTGGAATTGTGTTTGTAATGCTGAAAGCCTAGTAAAATGGGTTCTCACGATGCTGGCGTTGTCTGGCCTCCTTTGCACTTTCAAGTGAAAGGCTAATACAGTATTAAAGACATCAATCAGGCTTCACTTTCATAGGAGTACTTTCTTCTTTAATTCATGTGTGGCGATGTTATAACATTCCTCATGCATGCATATTTTTTCAGCATGCATCTCATTTTTATTTGATTTTTATAATGTTGTTATAATGTTAGTTACATGGTATATCTAATGCTAAGCTCTGAAAGTATAGAAAAATATATGTGTCAGAAATATAGGCAAGCAATACACCCAAGAGGATGGTAACTGTTATGTGTTGGGTTTGTTTGGAGGGAAGCCCCCTGCTTCCAGTTTGTAGGATGCCTGGGTTCCAGTGCCTGTTGTTTTTAGATGTTGCTCTCTCTCTCTCTTCAGTAATCAGATTTTTCCCTTCTTCCAGACACTTTTTTTAAAAATATTTGTTTATTTGTTTTGTGTGGGTGCATAGGTTTGGGCGTGGGTGTGCTACTGTGCATGTGTGGTCAGAGGACAATTTACAGGAGTCAGTTTTCTCCTCTACCTTGTGGATTCTGTAGATTGAACACAGGTCATCAGTCTTGGCAGCAAGCACATTTTCCCCCCAAGCTATCTTACTGACAGCCTGAGGCACTTTTAATTCCTAGGATTTTTTTTTTGTTGTTGGTTGATTGGTTTGTGAACGTGCACACACATGCATGTGTGGTCAGAGGACAATTTACAGGAGTCAGTTTTCTCCTCTACCTTGTGGATTCTGTAGATTGAACACAGGTCATCAGTCTTGGCAGCAAGCACATTTTCCCCCCAAGCTATCTTACTGACAGCCTGAGGCACTTTTAATTCCTAGGATTTTTTTTTTGTTGTTGGTTGATTGGTTTGTGAACGTGCACACACACACGCACACACACGTGTGTGTGTGTGTGTGTGTGTGTGTGTGTGTGTGTGTCGGGGGTATTAATGGAGGCCAGAGGTTGCTGTTCTACGGTGTTTTCCTGTAACTTATCACCTTATTTATTTTATTTTTTAATATTTTATTTTACTATTTTTATGTGTATGCTTGTATTGCCTG